TGGTAGTGCCTTTGTGAATATGTCAGCTAGCTGTTTTTCAGTTTTACAATGTCTTAGTTCTATTTCTTTGTTTCCTTCAGCTTTTCTGATAAAGCGATATTTGATGCCAATATGTTTGGTTCTACTGTGAAATATGAGATTCTTTGCCATTGCGATAGCTGATTTACTATCGTAGTAGATTTCAGTAGCACCAACTTGTGGTTCTCCCATGTCATCAAATATCCTTTTGAGCCATATAGCTTGGCTCGTTGTTATTGCTGCTGCAATATATTCAGCTTCAGCTGATGAGCTGTCTAGTCACTGTCTGTGTAGCTAATGAGCTTAGAGTCATGTGTGACTCTGTACCAAATTCCATAGCTCTTTGTACCTTGCAAATACCTTAGTATTCTTTTAGCTGCTCCATGGTGGACTTGACTTGGATTCTGCATGAATCTTGATAGTAGACTAACTGCATACATGATGTCTGGTCTTGTAGCAGTTAAATAGAGAAGACTTCCGATCATACTCCGAAATTGTGATTCATTTGCCTTTGGTGAGCCATCTTCATTTTTAAATGCTTTAATGTTGTCTAATGGGATAGAGACTGTTTTGCACCCCTCCATTTTGAATTTCTTCAATTGGTGTCCTATCTGGCACAACTTTTGTCTAACAATCAAGCAAAGGCTCGAAATAGCAAACCTAGCAGTAAGTACTGGAGATTGCGCTGGAAGCAAGCCTTGCCTGCATCAAGGAATGGGGGAGACTAGTAGGATACATCAGTACATCACCCACATCATCTATGTCCCCTCCAGCGAAATCAGATTAGCAGGAGGAGACCTCTACCTGGCGAGTCGCTCTGCACAGTGACGTCCGTCGTGTAATGCTATACTTTCTTGGCTGTTACGGCCGCGTCACCGGCCTTCGCGTGGCCAAGGCTGATGTCACGAGCAACAAAAACTGGGCAGGTTTTTACGTCATGAGCAAGGCTAACGCCCAAAAATTCACTGTCGGGAGCTTCTTGGGAAGAATCTCTTGGATTGCAGCTGCTGGAGTTTACTAGCAACAAAAAGATGAACAGGATTTCATACGAAGAATGAAGGCTATAATAGGGTTTATTTTCAATTTTGGAGAGAGGACTAAGATTTTTTATAGTTTTTCATTTCTTTAGGAAGAAGAACAATGGGGTTTCAAAAGCTTCAGTCTATTAACAGGAAGAGAAAGGCGGAGAGATTTCTTTGGGTTTTCGATACATTTTGCAAAAAAAGAGGAAGAGGGGCAGTTTTGTCATAAAAAATGCATCAAAGGCATTTCCCCTACGGCGGATGCACCTCATGCTTTACTACCCTTTTGTGATATTACCCTGCAAAAGACGCCTTGTTTATGTTATTTTACAAAATAGCTACCTTTTGTTGCTAATAGAGGTCAAAAATTACTCTTTGTGCTAGAATCCCTATTTTTTTTCTTAAATAGAGCCTGAACCGAATCGAGCTTATTATTTTTTTCTTCGAGTTCGAATATATAGTTGTTTCATTCGAGCTGAGCTCGAACTTGTATTTCCAGTTCAAATCGAGTTTGAGCCCGAGTTCAAGCCTTGTAATTTTATATCGAGCTGAGTTTGAATACCCAAATATTCGGCTCGGTTTGGCTCGTATTCACCCTTAGCCCGGGGCATCTCCGCCTCCTCTGGGGACGTCTAGGAGACCTGTACCCACCCTGTGGAGGTGGTTCCACCTGCCGTCTACCCCCGCACTCCCTCTGGGACTGCTTCTTGAAAATGGTAGAATCACCCAAACGCCGCTTCGGCGGGTGCGGAGGGGGTTCAATGGCCACCAAACCCACTCTCTCCTACTACCACTCACCCACCGAGCAGTCCAACACCTTCCAATTGCCCATCAACCCGACGACCTAGGTCGACGGTTGGAAACGGTGGTTCTGCAAAAGCACAATTTCCCATTGTCAGCCTTCCCCGTTGGTCCGGGGCATCTTTGTCTCCTTTGGGAACATCTAGGATAACTCTCCCCACCCCGTGGTGGTGGTTCCACTGCCTGCCTAGCCTCGCATCCCCTCTTTGGGACTACTTCTCGAAAATGGTAGAATCACCTGGTAGCCACTCTGGCGTGTGCGAAGGGGTTCGATGGCCACCAAACCCACTCCCTCTTAATACCACTCACTCACCGAGCATCCCGACACCTTCCAGTCGCCCATTGGCCCAACGTCCCGGGATGATGGTGGGAAACGATGGTTCTTCAAAAGCACTGCTTCCCACCGTTGACCTTCCCCGTTGGCCCGGGGCATCTTTGCCTCCTTTGCTGACATCTAAGAGATCTCTCCCCATCCCGTGGAGGTGATTCCGCCGCCCGTCTACCTCCACACCCCCCTCCGAGGCTATTTCTCAGAAATGGCAGAATCACTCGCAGGCCACTCGGGTAGGTGCAGAGGGGTTCGATGGCCACCAAACCCACTCCCTCCTACTGCCACTCACCCACCGAGCATCTCAACACCTTCCGATCGCCCATTGTCCTGACAGCCCATGTCGACGGTGGGAAACAATGGTTTTGCAAAGTACCATTTCCCACTGTTGGTATTCCTCGTTGGCTCGAGGCATCTCCACCTCCTCTAGGGACGTCTAGGAGTCCTCTCCCCAACCTGTGGAGGTGGTTCCTTCGCTCGTCTACCCCTGCACCCCCCGGGACCATTTCTTAGAAATGGCAGAATCACTCGGAGGCCACTCCAGCGGGTGCGGAGGGGTTCGATGGCCACCAAACCCACTCCCTCCTTTTGCCACTCCCCACCGAGCATCTTGACACCTTCTGGTCGCCTATTGGCCCAATGGCCCGGACAATGGTGGAAAACGGTGGTTCTGCAAAAGCACCATTTCCCACCATCGGTCTTTCCCGTTGGCCCGGGGCATCTTTGCCTCCTCTGGGGACGTATAGGGGACCTCTCCCCACCTGTAGAGGTGGTTCCGTTGCCTGTCTATCCCCATACCCCCCTTGGGATTGCTTCTTGAAAATGGCAGAATCGCCTGGAGGCCACTCCGACGGGTGTGGAGGGGTTTAATGGCCACCAAACCCACTCCCTCCTACTGTCACTCACCCACCGAGCATCCCGACACCTTCCGATCACCCATCAGCTTGACAACAGGGGCATAGATGCAATCGGTGCCCTTAGCCTCTCGAACATGAAGGAATATGGTTTTAAATAAGAAGGAGCATTTTTGTACAAAAGTATGTGACGTATACACGGGGTGGAGTTGAAAATAAATACTGATTTATTAATTGGATTTGACGTGGATTTCAGTTTTCGTACGAGGTTAATGGCAATTTTGATTTATGGGATGGAGAGATCGATAAAAACTCCTTTATTATAATATTTATTAATTATATATAAATTTATATAATTATATTTAAAATTATAATATTATATTATATATGAATTTATATATATATATATAATAAATTTAGTATGTTAAGTCGATAAGTATTTAAAATTTTTTGACATTAAAAAAAAATCAAAGTAGAATCAAATTAAATCCGGATCCGATCCGAATCCATTAAGATTTGAATTTGAATCCAAGGTCTTAAATTCCGATCAGTGATGCACATTTTGATGAACCCGATCTGAATCCAATCCAATTACATCCCTAATTTTGAATCAATATCTATCAAATATGCACGTAGAAATTTAAACTCCACTCCCATGAACTAGCATATAAAACTTGTGAATATATATTAATAGATGGCAAATGTTGGCAGCCAAAATGTATTAGATGCTTTGAGCTATGATATCTAATTCATCTCTCTTTTTTTTGGAAAAAAAATGTTCTTTTTAGATGGGTGGAGGAGTTATAACCGATGTTCAAAAACACCAATTATTGGATTACTTCATCTAAACATTGAATAAATGCTGGATTTTCTTTTGGCAACAGAAAATTACAGATTCATACGTGCACCTTTAATTTACAAATTATTTTACAAAAAAAAATAATAATTTACAAGCAAAAATCAAAAGACTAAGTTGTGGGCATGTGAATCATATATCGAAAGTTTTGCATAACTGATGTTTAGATCAATGAGTTTTATTTGGGCATTATGATCAAAGAATTGAGAGATGGCTGACTTATACGTCTGCCAAATAAAAGGGGGTTTTTAGTTTTAGTACTGGTTTTCAGCGGTTGGATTTTCAACATTGAAGTGTCAGGAGGTTTTATTTTTGTGAGAGAGGGTTCAAAGTCATTTTCCCATTATTATAATAGCTGTGACAACAGATCCTTAGCTAATTATGTATTATTCCCTCAACTTCATTCTTGTCTATTTTATTTTTATAGAGGTGATGGAATGGAAAGGACAATCATCAATCATAAACTTCATATAATAAACAGTTGAGGATTTTTTTTTTGTTTAATGCTAATTAATGATAAATTAGAGTTTTTTTTTTTGTTTTTTAGTAGGAAGAAGAGAGAGCAAAAAAAAAAAAAAGTCAAAAGCAAAATGAGGGATAGTGCAGCCCAGCTAGATATCAATCGTCATCCATGCATGGAATGGAAATGAAAAGTAAACAACAACACCAAATTGGACCAGGGGGATAGGCTCATGGGCTGGCGGCTCTGGTGTAGAGCGTGTTCTCTCAACCACCCCAAAAGTCCAAAGTCCAAAAACATGAGTTATGGCCCATTATGGAGCTATATAACTAATGTATATAGACAAAATAAGCAGTTGGGAGAACGGAGATCATTATTAGAATAATTAAACTATGAATATTATTCAATTCATCAATCACCACCATGCATAAATATATTTGGATTATGGCCCCATTCAGGGGAATTGAATGGGGTGAATGACTCAGATTGATCATGACCACGTACAACAGACACCTTAATTGAAGTCAACTTCTATTACAAGTAAAAACCGCTACGTATTTCCTCGGTTCTCACTGAAAAGCACCACCTAATTTTTCTATCACTAAGAACTGGAGGGGGGGGTTTCTTTTTATCGATTATTGTAAGAATATAAACTGAACAATTCAAACCAAGAGATAATGACGACTTCACAATCTCACACAATTTTAGGACTGGTCATGACTCATAGATACTAGTAATGAATCGGTGGTGGAGGCGGAGGTGGTGGAGGAGGAGGCGGTGGTGGTGGTGAACACCCGAATGAATCGCAATGTACAGGGTGGTCAAGGAAAGCCTTACATTCCTCTGGTGACCGTTGCTTTGGTTGATATGGAATACAGTTCTTCTTGTCGTTCTTATGCTTTAGCTTGAGACAGAGGTGTGGTTCACTGCAGAAGTAATTATCCGAGAAGGTGAAGTTCTTCAACCTCGGCAAGGCACATATGCTCTCCGGGATCTCACCGATCAGTTTGTTGTGAGCCACGTTCAGATGTTCCAGTTTCTTCATCTCTCCTATGGTCTCCGGCAATGGCCCCGTCAAGTTGTTAAAGCTAACGTCGAAAACCGTTATGTTCTTCAGATATCCAATCTCCGGCGGGATACAAGAACGTAGACCCATATTCATGAGAATAATCTGATCGAGCGTTCCAGTCATATTGCCCAAACTTGAAGGCAGGCAACCACTAACTTGAATATTCGCCATGACAAGCACAGATGCCGGAGAGTTACCAATGTTTTTCGGAAGGGTGAACTTAAACCTGTTGTTGTTTATGAAGATTGCATCGAGATTCAAGTCGAAGAGGCGGGTGGGAACTTCACCTTCGAATTGATTGTATCGGATGTCAAGGTATTTGAGTGAAGGGAGGCAAAGCACCACAGAAGGGAATGGACCTGTGAACCAGTTATTGCTAACATCGAGCTCGTAAAGGAGATGCATGTTTTTAAAGCTCTCGGGGATGGTTCCGCAAAAGCGATTGGAATTGATGTGGAAGAGGGCGAGGTCGGTAAGAAGGCCGAGCTCCTCCGGCAAGGAACCAGCGATGTCGGCATGGTTGAGATCAATCCCAGCAACTGTTTTTATATAGGGATCATCTGGGGCTGGTGCACAGAAGACGCCAGTGTAGTTGCAGACATGAGGGCCATACCAGTTTGCAGTGGAGTTCTTTGGGTCCGACAGAATTACATGTTTCCATGCCTGGAGAGCCGTGTAGGCATTCAGGAGTCTTGGGTTTGGAAAAGGTGGAAGGCCTTGCTGATGAGATGGACCAGAGAAGAATAGAAGCAGAGACAAGAGAACCCAGAAGGCTAAACTCAGAGATCTGCTTCCCATTTTGGTGGCTTGATATCTGCGGAGAGGGATTGAGCTTTATATGTATATACTAGCAATTAATGATTAATTATTAGACAAATCATTGTCATTAAAAAATAAAACCTTGACTAAATCTCTTTCCCATTTTAAAAATGAGGGGGGGAAACATGGATAACAACTGCTTGGAGACTCAATCGGCTCTTGGGTTGTTGGAATAAAGAAATTTTGACTTAGATACAATCAACAAGGATATATAACACCAATTGGGTTTTTTTTTTTTAGGGTTTGGAATTATCATCGACTAAGTAGAATTTTCCTTGTATGCCCATTTGCACTGGCATGATAGAGATTGCATATATGTTAGAAAGCTTATAGCATATATGTTAGAAAGCTTATAGCATATATGATTAAGTTCTTCAATATCTCTTTCCTTTTTTTTATTTAATAAATAAAGAGAGGAGGAAGGAAAAGTGGTTTCTACCCTCACCAAAAACACGGTATTACATTTGTTGTATGTTTAATTATATTTCTTCCATGGGAAAAGCGGGCTGATTTATTTGAAGTTATAAATAAAGATTTAGGCCATTGTGGGTAATGGGTCTCTCTCAAGTTTCATCATTCACAAAGGATTAATTCCTCTTCCGCACCGGTGATGAAACTCTTCATTTACAGGGCTCACCATTTTATTCTATATTAGAGATGGTATGGTGGTTGAAATTCGAATCATTATTCCCCCACAGAAACAGAAAGGGCAAATATATCTATATCTATATCTATATATATATATAACAAGAGAAAAAAAGGTGTCGAGAAACCCTGTGCATGAAATGGAATCGATAAAGGTCTGCTAAATTCTTGAGGCAACAAAACAATTCATTCTGAACTAACAAAGATTTTGGGATTAAACTATAATTAGGAAGAGGCGAAACTAAGATTACACTGGACCTACATACATCATCTAATTTGTTGGGGTAAGTGCAAGATGAGGCAAGTTCAAGTAGTTGTCAAGACTCAACTACTCGCTGCTGTGCTGTGTCCTGTGTGGTGCCTGTGGTCCATTATTCCAGCACCGATCCTTGTATAGTTGCATACAATTTCTTCTTCCTTTGGATTTTGTTTTGCTTGTGACGACGATACTTGTTTAATTTAAACCCACTTGAATGAGGAGATATGTTTAGGGTGGGTGGGCCGGCCAAGTAATTAGAATTAATCAAATAATTAATAAAGGATTACTAGGAAGGAAAAAAGTGGCTTGACCCAAAATGGTAGAACAAGAAAGAGGAAACCAGATGAAACAAGAAAACATAATTAATGATAGTTACAGTAATGCGGACAGGAAAAAAAAGTAAACAATAGCAGATAAATATATACAAAGAACTGAGCTAAAAATATTGAAGAGAAGCATGTGGTAGAGAGATAACTTAAATGATCATTAAAATAGTTTTAGAATGTTTGGGAGTGCAGAAGTCAAATCACCAAATTTAACTTTGAGACCAAATTATTGATAAGAAGCACTATTTAACATACTGTTGACGTAGTAAACGTCCACCTATTGGTGAAAAAATAGGCTTATTTTATTTTAATTTCCATATTAGGTGGGATGAGATTGAAGTTCAAACCAGAGGAACCTCAGAGCTGATGAGCCAAAGGTGATGGCATATTTAGATACAGGGTCGACATCAGAAAGTTGGTTGACAACCACCAAGCATGGTTCTGCATAAGGCCGAGGATCGTGAGCCAAAGTTCATGTTTCTGGGCTTTTGGGTTTGGCCTATACCTACGTTGTTTGTATTTCTACATATTTATATATGTTTGTTGTATTATTTTAGTTAATAGTGGTTAGATGAAAGGAAGATGTTGTTTCGTATTAAAAGTATTTAAATTGTATATTTATCTATTACTGATGGTATGTTTTCGCTTTCTCGATGAATTTGAGAGTACAACAGATGGCAAATTAAAAGAAACGTATATTTCTACTTCTATTGACATGGAGTAGACAGCCAAACTGAAATCGGCGGTTTGGTCTCGTTTGATCATTTCTCAGACTTTAGTTTTCTGGTTCGGTCTGATTTTCTGAATTTCAAAAATCAGACCAGACTATGAACCAAACTAAACCGAATTAATAATTTGTAATTATATATACAACAATAGTATAATATATAATACTCGTTTAACATTTAAACATATTACACTACTTTTGGTCTTTCAATAAAAAAACCATGGTCTGTTGGGTTCATAGTCAGAATCAGTTGGAACCGAAATCCCTTAATTGGAACCGGAATGGCTTAACCCAGTCTGTTTGGTTCAAATGGGAATCAGAACCAAAATTGAAATCGGCTGGAATGAATTCACATTCTTAAGGGAGGGGGAGAGAATTACCATTACCTCAAATGGGGGAATGCCATTCTACTAAAAATAGGAATAAGATTCTGATTCTGCCCAACCAAACGGTTGGAATCGGAATAGACCACCCTGATTTCAATTCCATTCCATACCCCTATTCCCACAAACCAAACAGACCCTAAGTCTTTAATTTATAAGATTAAGTAAATCGATCTAATAAGATTTGGAACTTGATTAACCATTAAAAACCGGGAAAATCTATGATGCCGAAAAGATATGGTATGGGAAGAGTTTTGACCAATCAAAACCCATCCATGAATTTTGATAAATAACACCTAATTGGTAGACCTGTTCATGGGCCGGGTGGCCCGACGGGCCGACCCGGCCCAGCCCGACTCCCGGACGGGCTTGAACAGACTTTTTGGCCCGCGGGCTTAACCTCGGGCTAAAAAGCCCGGCCCGCAGAAAATTCGAGCCGGGCTCGGGCTTTGCCAAAATAGCCCGGCCCGGCCCGACCTATAGTTAAACCTAAGTAAAAACCCTATGTGATGTCCATTTGAATAATTTTTTTGATTTGAGAAGGTTGTTGATTCACTTGTAGGCCCATTGTTCATTTAAATAGTGGAAAAAAACATTTGAATTAAAATAGATAATGTCTATTTGAATAGGGAAAATTTTGATTTTCTTTTATTAGGTCGGGCTTCGGGCTTTTTATCAGGGCCGGGCTCGGGCCCAAGTTCTAGGCCCGTTGGTCGGGCCGGGCTCGGGCTTGGGCCTATTATTTTTCTGTTAATGAACACTAAAAGCCCGGCCCGACCCGGCCCATGAACAGGTCTACTGATTGGCTACCACGTTTATGATTCCAGTTAACTAATCATTAGTTTTTCAAATATCATATCTTTTCCATATCATAGTCGAAAACCTAATCAAACAAAACAACTAATCAAATATAATCTCTAGCAAAAAAAAATGTAGTTAACTTCTCTTAAACTCTTTTAGACTCCCAAAGCTTTTTAGAAACCAGACTCCCATGATAAAAACAATCTGATTTGGTTTGGTTTCTATACTAAAATGGATAGGTTTGGTCCGGTTTGGACCAGACCGTGAACACCCCTACTTGTAACTAATAAATTGGTATCACAAAAATGATAACCAATCATGTGGTATTGATCAAAAGCGCAAATTTCTTAAACTACTCTTATGTCTTAGTTAATTGACTAACTCTACCCTTACTGTTTACATATTGTCAAAGTATCCCTATTGTTTCCGACAATTGACATCGCCAGCAAGTGCTAATGAAAAAAAATGAAATGTCAAATTTACCCTTCACTATTATTCAAATTTTCAAAATAAAACCCAAGTGATGAAAAGTTTGAGGAAGATGAGAATGTGGCCAACAATGTGTTATAGTTAGTAGATCCAAACTGTGTAAATGTGGCCAACAATGTGTTGTAGTCAGCAAATCCAAACTCTTTACCACATCCTTCTTTTATTTGCCTAGCTGTTTGGATCATTTTTAGACTTATAATTTGTACTAACTTGGACACTAACTAATTTGAGTTCATCAAAACTCATGGGGTAGTTTCAATCAAATTCTGAAACCTAAGATATTCCCATGTGTCATACCCAACCGCTCTTATGCTTGAGAGTTCAACTGCTCTTATGGTTAATGTACATTTCCTAGTTTGAGCTTGGTTTAATTAAATATTCGATGAATTTGAGTTTGAATGAAAAGTTTGAAACTGAATATATTTTTTATAGGGTAAATTTCTTAAACTATCTTTAGCATAATGACACGTGGTATCCCTATTGTTTAGCTATTGTTGTCATTGCCTTAAGTGCTAAGGGAAGGAAACAAAACGTCAAATTTGCCCTCTTCTTCCTCTTCAATGGAGCAAGGTCTCGACGAAAATTGGGACTCTTCTTCGTCTGCAATGGTGCAAAATATCAAGGAATGGGAAGCCAATTCTTCCCCAAAGGTTTGCACCAGTGATGCCTTCTTTCTCGGAGGCTTCCAGTTTCACCGTTAGGCGAGGCAATCAAAGGCTAGGAAGGCTAGCAGGTCTGTTTCATTTCCATTGAGACCGGTGCCGATACTGGTAGCGGTAGTGGCAACGGAGACAACAACGACAACGGTGGCTGTGGTGACATCTATGGGATGCAATACCGTATTCATGCATAGACATGAGAGAAGAACAACTACACAGACTATAAATGACGAATGCATCACAAAAACGGGGAGGAGTTGTTCCACCACCTATATACCTTCCCTTGTTTCAATCCCGTCACTTGCAGTGGCGGATCTAAACACGGCGGCGGAGCTCCACCAAGACCGGACTAGAAAGGGTGAGGATTGGCACTTGTCTGCAACTGCCCTAAACTTCTTTAACAAATGGAGTTTGTGACATATCTCTGATCTTTCTTTTCAAAGTCTGTCTCTATTTGCCACGAGAAATGAAGAAGATCTCTACTGCAGCCTGACTCCTTGACGAGGAAGATCTCTACGGAGGGAGGAAAAATAGGGGAGATAAGTTACATGTTTTGAAAAAAATAATCTTTGCGGAGAATCCTCTCTCATTATGCAAGGCACAACCATATATATACACATACAATCGACGCCTGAAATTTAGGAGTAGGAGACTCACTTGTAGTAGTAACCTATCTACTAATCATAACTAGCTAAAGACGCCTAG